AGTTGCATTAGAAAAGGCCGTTAATATGTTGAAAGAAGACGTACAAAGAAATATGGTTCTTAATGACTTTGCATTAGGAGCCATAATAGCAAGCAATATGATGAACAACTTAAAGACAATGCAAAATACATTATTAGATACAATAACAGATGTATATCATGGACGCATCAGTTTACATTTACTGACACCTACCCAAATTAGCGATGAACTTAGCACGATATCAAGTCAATTACCAAAGGAAGTTGCTCTACCAATAGACAACGTTCATTCAGACCTTAGCAAGATTTATAATCTCCTCACAGTAAAAACAAGAATGCTGAAGGATTACGTCATGTTTGAAATAAGCCTACCGCTTATCAGCAGGGATAAGTTTGAGATTTTTAGGGTTATTAAAATACCTAAATATCAAGATAGACAAATGATAACATTGGTTCCAGTTTCAGATTACATTTCAATCAATTTGAGAAAGGACACATATATACCCATGATGGAAAATGATATCAACCAATGTGTCATGCAGTCAGGAACATGTTTCTATCACATCCACAAGCCAGAATATAAAATGAAAGAAAATGATAATTTATGTCAGATGGGAATATCGGAATGTAAAACAGTAATTGAACAATGCCGCAATTATTGGACAGAAAGTTATGCAATCAATACATACGTATATTTTTGTTGCGACACTTGCACCGTTCGCACGATATGCACGGAAGAGATGAAAACCTATCAACTAACAGGTTCTGGACTTATCAGCATTGGACAAGGTTGTTTATTAAAGACAAACGAGATCACGATTTACCCGTCCAAGATTCACTCAAGCGAAATCAAGATTTTGCCTGATCTGCCAGCACCGACTATCGCGCCAATCAATGACATCATTAAGATTACCCTACCGCAATGGTCTGCGGGAAACCAGAATAATAATTCCCAAACAAAATTGTATCAAGATACAGAGCAATTTGGAGACAGGATTCAGTTGCTCATGCAAGAAGAAGACCAGACACCGACAGCATCGGAGGAGATTTCATATCATGACATACATCACTACGTTATGATATATGTGATGTTTGCCATAGTTGCTATCTCAGGAGTAATATATGCACTTCGTCGAGTACGCTGTCGATGGCAAGTACCGCTAGCGGCTGCAAGAGCCGAAACATCGACTACACCACCGCTGCCGAGCACACGGCGTTCAACAATGCCAGGGACAAGACCTCAGACTGAGAGGATAGAGATGGATTGATTTTAGTGAAACATGTTTTTATAAAGATTTTGTATTTTTTATTCTTTTTGTATTTTTTATCATGATGTTTATTAGTTTTAATCATTTGACATGTGAACATATTTTGTTAATTTGATTTGTGCGCCACAGCCTCATCATCTCCTGCCCGGGAAATATGTACAAAGTACATGAATTTGTATAATTGCAATTTTACTCTTTGCGCATTCAACGCTTTACTTATTAGACCAGTTCGCGATTGACCGTACAAGTGTGCACACAAGTCATTTTAATATCAAGTATTGTTTTAATAAATTTCTATAATTCAACAAGTTTTATTTATCAAGATTATCAGTAATCAAGACAAGAGCATCAGCTCCAACACCCTTAATCATTCTAACTTCGGTACACGTTCATTAAGTTAGTTAAACTAGCTTTTTAATGTGGTGTTACTTCAGCAGAATTAAATGTACTGTGTAAACTAAAAAACACTTTAATGTTTTGCATCGGTTAAAGTTACGATTAATTGCTGCAGACGACCAAATAAATATTTTTTAAGACTAAGAGCGGATGCTGGCACAGTTATCATGGTTCTACCTAAAAAAACAAAATAGTGTGATGTATCATCTATACATACAATACAGCAGTTTTCAATTTCCTTCCGAAATATGCATACCATTTAACATTTTGACGCGAATATCCGCTCATAAATCGAATAACGTCGATCCGTCAGTTCGTCAAGCATTTAGCGTCGATACGTCGATACTGCGAATAAACTACATTCATATTTAAATGTATTCAACATCCTTTATTATTCATCCAACGAAGACTTTCCGGTACAAGGAATCGCTTTTTCCCAACCATTATTGTACGAGAATGCGTCGGTAGATAAATCTTTTTCAAGTTTAATGCAAAAATTGTGTTTATGCGTCAGAGCAGGATAAGTTGAGGTTCTTCATTCTTGTGTAATATATTCATTTTAACAAGTCTCGCCGTATTACTCTTGTATGAATTGACTTACGACGGAACACCAGCTAATGGACTCAACCCGTTTCTAGCGAAAGGTTGTGTTTTTGATGCGGAATATGATGGAGAATGTTATAATGGAAATGCATTATTTTATGCGAAGATTTCGAAAAGGGTTGTGTTTTCTTTTTTCTTGTTATTTTCAGCGAAAAATGATTTTCCCTCTTTTATTTACGGAAACATTCGACTCATACAATAATGGAACCAGGGCAAAATTCAAATCATACGTCAGTCGTAAACCCAGAAATAGTTAACAAACAATTAAACTAAGTGACCTGAAAATCTCTGCTACAATTATTTCCAAGAAATTACTTTAGACCGGAAAATAGAGAAACAGGCAACCCAAATGGACCCTAAGGGTCTCGTCTTAACAACTTAACATATTGTAGGATTTCGAGACAAGTAGTGAGATAGTTTTGTCCTTTACAAGATGGCTGTAATCCTAAGTCCCTCTGCACAAAGCCCAGTATAACCTCTTTGGGGGCTTTGTGGGCTGCTAAGCAATCAATCTCTTTCTATTCTGACGTCACAGGTGTCAAGGTTACTCATGAACTGTTGCTCCTTTTATATTGATGTTGTAGTCAAATGTTGTTATTAGTTTTATTGCATTATATCCAGTGAAGACTAAAAAGTCTCTGTTATGAAGGAAATTTCATATATCAGAGATAGAGAAATAAAAATTTATAACTTCGTTTCGAAACAAAACACTTTAAAGTTGCGTACATCATTTTTTTAATCATTTTTATTATTGTTAGTTGTTTAGATCTGAGGTAAATTCTGTAGTGTATCCATTAGAAGTTGTCAGTTTATAAATGACGTTTTTAATGTCCCCTGTTAATTTGGATCCATATTACCATTGACGTACTGTATAGAGAGAAATTTTTTAATATTGTGGTGACCCGGAGGTGTAAGAGTGCATGCATGAGAGTGCCGGAATGGGGGTTTCGAAACCTTTCAACCGCAAGTACCAATGTGACTTTTTCCGAGTTATATTTAATTTCTAAGATTATCTAGACCACTGATAAATGGCGAAGGAAATCACTGTGTGAAATAATAAGAAATTATATGCCCAGGGCGAACCTGGGCGTTTCAAATCGCCAACTCGCACCCTCAAGCATGGTGATTATTGCTCAAACCTTCTTCGTGCGAGAAGAGACCTTTGCACAGCAGTGGCCACTTACAATAGGCTGTAGATGATTGATTATAGAGAAATATATTAAGAAAACAGAGTGTTATATAAGATTCTAGTAAAGATAGTTTTACAGTAACATTAGGACGTATTCATCAATCATGGCTTTAGTTTACGTATGAAGAATATGCGGGTTATATTTTATTCGCTGGTTAAACAAACATTTTTTCAATGAAAAATATTACGGCAGCGTCTACTATGAATATGGTTATACCGATCATTTGTTACATACCTATCGGAATTATTTACAATACTTGATTTATTACAGCATGCTCTAGAAGGAATTTTATAAGCAAACTAGCTTTTACCCGCGTCTTTGCCCTCGTTTATTCCATGAGAGCATTTAATCAAGAAAAAAGTCAGCCCATACTCTGCTTGTATACCAAATTTCATCAGTATCCGTCCAGTAGTTTCAGCGTGGTTGACATATCGAAACAAAGAAACTTTCACGTTTAAAATGGTAGTGTAATAATGTACTTAGAAAAAAGGTCGTACATTACAAAATTTTAAGGCAATCAGGTTAATAAAAAATAATCTTTACTTCGTCAAAGTCTTACTACATAGATACGATTGCCAGCCACTAAAAATAATATAGAGCTAATTCCCAGAGTTGAGTGAAATATCATTCAATTTCATTTTTTATTCTTTGCTTAAAACATATTAAATTACATGTACCTACTTAACATTAAGAAAATTAAGCTAATAAGTAAGCACTGTAGCTACTATTTACATTTCTATAAAAGACCTACTAAATACACAAAAAAGTCTAATATTACATTAAAATAATATCACTGACATTTCCTCAGTGATATCAAAGCCTTACTTAAACTTTTATGAATACATTTCATAAATATGTATACAACTAAAAGCTTCAGTATAATAAATAATCCCGCAATAATATGTAAGAATGTTGTGACTTCACTTTGATGATAGATGTCTCTAATAGCTCTTGATTACGTCCATAGTCCCTTGTATCATCATTATAGGTACTATGCTAGCTACTGGCTACTCCGTTTTATCCCCTGCTCGGCTTTTAGGCTGTGTCCCTAGTCACGGCCGATCGCGCAAGCGGAATACGCCGCGCACGAAATTCCGAACGCTATTTCGCCGCGGCGGATTCCGCTTCCGTGATCCGCCGTGACTCTGAACTCAGCCTTATTGATGGCAGTGAGATGTTTTATAACCTATAGTCGTCATCGATAAATTACTTATCCACAATAAAAATATTTTTTTAATCAAAGCAGTAGATCAAACAAACAAACTCGTCACTTTTATATAGGTACATAGTTCCACACATTATATAAGAATGTCGTTAGTTCACTTTGATGATACATGTACCTAATAGCTGTAGATTACGTCCAAAGTCCCCTAGAGCACCATTATACTATATTTTTCTTGCCAACAAAATAAAGGCATAAATCAAAAATGTTCCAAGAATGAATTTGAAGTTTTTTACGCACTACAAAGATGGCGGCGATAAAAAATATTAGTTTCACTAATGCTGTTAAGTTTTTGAAGCAAAAACGATATAAAATGTTGCAAAATAAGCGTTTCATGTTATATAAAAAGTGTTTGCGAATGTTATTTTTTGTTTAATGACAAAAGGTTAAGGTGAAATAAATAACAAAAGTGACATATTGATTTCATGTAGTTAAGATACAAAATATAAGAATAACAAAACGTTTTTACGATAAAATTACAATTAGATTTATTGTAACCATTTTGATTAGTAAAGATCGGAATCCCAATAACAAAAGGTACGTACACTGTTACATCCATGAAATTGCTTTAATTAAAACAATTTTGATGAAACAGTAGCCCATAAATAATTCAAGGATTTGAACAATTTGGAAAATATTTTACAAAATTGTTCTAGCCTTCAGTAATTAGTTTGACATCAATCAAAATGGATTAATGATTTTATCGGTGTTCAATTCCATCGATACAGTTTAGAATAATGACAGTAAAATGTTAGAAATTTTCTTTATTGGTTATTCGTTTGTTACCGAATATTGTTGTTGAACATGTTACCGCAATCTAAAATTAGTGCGAATCGAAATTCTAAAGTGACTCCAATAGACATTCGTCCTAAACGAAATAATTTTGTTCCGAAGAGGCCTGTTTCGTCGATCCAAGCAATAAAGTACCAAATATGTGCTGCATTACTGTTTGGGATCAACAGATTATACCTCCTAAATCCCAACAGATTTGTTCTAATCTTGAGTTTGGCCCATACGATTTTCATGCCGATTTTGGTCTGGGGTATTATGTTTAATGCTGACGAATTATCCGCTACGTACTTCGTCTTCAAGTATACGTGCTGCGTTGAATATATTTTGCTCATAACTATTTCTTTATTCACAAGCAGAAATAAATTGAGGAGTCTTTTTCGGGATCTTGATAAATTTGATGAGATGTTGAACATCAGTAAAGATTTGAATATTGTCGATTCTGGTTATGCGAGCTTGTTTTGGTTGTCAGGCTGTTTGTTTTACAGTTTATGTGAATATATTGGATGTTATTTTTATTTGTCGTTCTTTATTGATAGAACTGTGTACTGTTTTTATATAATGCTGCTGACTCACGATTGTGAGCAGATCTTGTTCTTCGTTCTTTTAAGAACCATTTACGCTAGACTCTCTATTATAAAAGCGCACGTTTTGAAGGTGTTTTCTGCGGAAACCAGAACGGATAATTATAGAAGGAAGTTGAATAAAGTTGAAGCGCTGTCGAACAATGCACAGCTTGATATTAGTTCTTTGCACCGGGTCTACGATTTGCTTCACAAGTGCGCCGAACAACTTAACTCCATTATGAGTTTGTCGGTAAGTTTCACCAAGAATTATTTGTTAATTGGAATTTGAAATAAACCTTTTTAATAGTTATTTAATCAATCCACTAATACATTTTATAATTCAGAATAATGCTGTGATATTAATCGGTACCTATAATTTTTTCAGATGATAGTAATTTTATTGACTGCGGGTCTATCAACGACAATGCTACTGAAAATGATGGTCAAAGTTATACAAACAGTCACTGTCAGCAATACTGTGAGTACTAGCATAGATTTTACGTACCTGTATCATAATTTTGAAACCAAGCAATTAACTTTCCAATTAATTCTATTCAATGACATTTTTAGACTGCCTCGTTGGCCGAGTGGTCGCAAAGTACGACGGGCAAGGGGTCTCGGGTTCGATACCAGTGTCAGGCAAAGTATTACTGGGTTTTTAAAAACTTTAGGAGTAGCACGAACTCTGGAATTGTGCCCGGTATATGACTGGTTGGTTGGAGGTTTTTTTTTAAATTCCTGTTATACTTTGCCCGACCCTGAAATCGCACCCGAATCCTCTTGTCCGGCAGGCCTCATGAGACCACTCGGCCAACGACGCACTCATTACTTATTCACATAATATAGACGCATTATTTATTCATATAAAATAGAACAAACGCACAGATAACTAACAGACAAAATTGTAAGGTTTAGAGTCAATATTTGTTCATTAATCCGCTAAGGGGTAATCCCAAGAGTGGTTTTCATGTTAAACATAGCTCCCCTCAGCTATGATCATCACTCCGAAATAAAAGAGGAGGCGATGTTCGCTGGCGACCTTTTAACGTGATCTAGGTCAGAAGGCTTGGCAACAGTACTAATAAACGATAGTAAATATAGGGTGCTATTTTTGTCCCCTATGTTTTGTGCAGTGTAAACTAGTGTTTATACCTGTACAATGTATAGTCGATTACCTATACCTATCTATACAGACAAATAAAATTGAAGCATCTATTTATAAAATGAAATAACAGCTTTTTATTACGTGTGTATGAATAATGAATATACATATGATACATAAACCAAATTAGTACTTTTTACAATTTTTGTCTGTCTGTCTGTTTGTTTGTTTGTACTAGATAATCTCTGGAATGGCTGGACCGATTTTGACGGGAATTTTGGAAGGTAGCTAATGTATTAAGGAGTAACATAGGCTACTTATATTTTATAAAAACGTACACGAAGTTGCGGTTTCAGCTAATAATATAATATTTGTGTTGTAGTAGAGGTAGTGTGTTTGTATTGGGTCAGATGTACAATGTTATTTATGTGGCAAAAGGACAATTATTGCTTTAATTCAGGCCAGTCACAATACAAGAACTGATTTGAAAAAAAAACAATATTAGTTACTTTTCTAGACTAACTCAAGTTCACATTCGCGACCACTTAATCAATGAAGCTCTAATTTTATTCTTTAGCTCTATGGTGTCTAACAATTAATGATAATTGGACCCTGTTAAGCAGAAAAGATCCAGCCCATATTTGAGTAAATGGAGTTTAATGTTAGGCTGATAATAAAAAAATCATAACATAACTAAGTACCTATTGAATAGGTACTGTATCATATGATTACTTTAAACTTCATTTAGTCAAATGTGGGCTGTATATTTTCTGCTTAATAGGGTCCAATTGCACATGCCTATACTATACGACGATTCTGATTACAGTTTGGCAAATCAACAATCATATACCTATTTGGTCGTGGCATGAAGTTTACGGGTCTGGTGGTAGTTCCCTGCTACTACTCGAGAGTGACTTCATCTCAAGTTGCTGCTATACGGACGTGTCTGCATGATGCTGTGAATTCCAAACCTTTAGGTAAGGTATATTGGAGAGACTTGAAACGACTTTTTTAAATGATGTAGAATTTTATTTTTTCTTGGTACGAGGGACTGGATAGACCGCGAGCTGCTGGATACAGATAGGTTCCAACCGGTATATCTGGAAGATATTAGGGACGCTTATGTTCAGCTATAAATGTCTTATGATTGATGATAATGATGATTAATTGATTAACTCATGACAGCATATGCATCCCCATCATATAGATGGTTGGCAGGCCACAACTGTGCGCTTCTCGCGTAGCTTTCTGCCTCGCACAGCAAAACTGTAGAATGATCTGTCGTCGGTATTATTTCGGAACCGATACGACCTTCAAACCTTCAAGAAAAGAGCTTATTCCTTTTTTAAAAGCCGGCAACGCACCTGTGACTCATCTGGTGTTGTGGGTGTCCATGGGCGGCGCTGATGGCTTACCATCAAGTGATTCGTCTGGTCGTTTGCCTCCTATTCCATAGAAAAAACTACTACTATACTGAGAAAAACTCTTACTAGTTTCGACCTTCTCAGGTTAAGGTCGAAGTTCTCAGGTCCTGGGGTCCTTATGTGGGAAGGTTTTGACTTCCTCAGTGAGGAACAGTCCCTCTGTGACTCGAAACTAGTAGAGCTTTTCTCTCTATATTTAAATTAGTAAAACCGTTATTTTTATTTAATTCAGTATAATCCATTGAAGTCGTAGGACTAATGCTCGTCCAAACTAAATACTCCAACTTGAGTAGACATATCCCCTACAACGCTGAAGCACTTCGCAATTCCAGTCTAAATGTTCCTCCACAAATTGTATAGGCTCGCATATTTCCACAAATCATTGAAGTTATTTCTTTTCAGATAAAATCGAGCGTCGTAAAGTGAAAGCCTTCTTTCAGCTGACACGGGAGAATGAATTCACTTACGCCCTGGGAGGAGTGATTAGACTCAATATGTCTTTGCCTCTGAGTTACATGAGCCTATGTACAACCTACCTAGTTATATCTATACAGTTTTCAAAGTTTTTCGACTAAATAATCTGTAAATAAAGTTAAATGTGTAGAAAAAAGTAGAACCTTTTTGCTGTTGTTTTCGAAGCCAAAATGGTCATATACTTTGATTGTATGGAAACACAACCATTAAATTATATTTTTACAAACAAACTATTAAAAATAATTATTTAATATTCAGTAACGAGAAGGAAACTATAGTACATAATTATGGATTGAATGAAAAATACAATAATTACAGTATTCGTTGCGTTTAATTTGTCAGAAACAAAACACCAAGAGACTAAACACTTTCATTATAATTAACTGAAGAGTTATTAGCATTCCAATGATACGTTAATTACTAAAGTAACTCAGTAGCAATTAGTTCGGATGTCACTCGTCGCACGTCCCACTCAAATATTTAGTTAGTCCAAGCTCGTTTTTAAAACGAAAGCGTCATTAAGAACGCTGTTGACTGTTATGAAGGGTCGAATGGCCTTACAAATTGCATGAAACACGTTCCCTCTTGATTAACTTTCACAAGTACCCGCACTTGGAATGCTAATAAAATAAAATTGGCTACCATCGATACAGTTTCAACTGAAACTAAAAATGTTTTAAATCCATAAAATTTAAAGGTGTGTTAGCGTAATAGCCTATCAGCTATCGAAACCGATTTTCTCTCATCACATTCGATTGACGAGAATATGGCGATGCGAATTTTCGATTTTCGTCTACGAATTTTCGTTAACCTGCGCCATAATCGTTGGAAGTCGAGAAATTCGATATAGGGAACGAATGGAGGGTTTCAAGGCAGGGGAAAAATTAGTGAGATAACATTCAGCTTTATTGCCCGCCGTCCGTCTCCGCCAAAATTCAGGGGTGACGTAAATGGCCCAAGAGACTTGCTTTTTTATCGCCCGGAGTGGGCAACTTGAACACTGAAGGGGTTTTTTTGGCAACAACAAAATATTATTTAACCCTTGAAAGAGTTGGCCGGGCCGTACTAGGAGCGTTTTGTACAAAAATATATACAAAAATTTTCTCCATTTATATTTCTTTGTAAAGGTTATTTTAAGATCTCATTTGGTAACAAATGTTGTATTGATAATAGAACACAAAGCGGTATTGCTTAAATTATTGTCTGTATATGAGAGGCTTCAAGAGCTACCTGCGTCTCGTGCTAAATATATTTCACCTTACCCGAGTTATATTATTTAGTATTATTTGTTGTTAAATGGTAGGTGGGTGTTTCTAAAAATGAAACGAGTTTTAAGTTTACCTATTTTATATATATTTCAAAATAATGCTGTACAATGTTGAATTCATATAATAATTCATTGCCGAGACAATCCACTCACTTATATTATTAGTAGGTATATGCTTCTTTAAAACGTACCACTGTTTCAGACACCAGGTACTCATACAAAATTTCTGTGAAACTGCTATTGGAGAATTTTAAACAAACGAGACAAGTCGTAACTTGTCGTAAAAAAATAAATAAAGGTGTACCTTTCAAATATAAATTGTTCTACGAATCTCAATATTTCTATACATACGATACATTACATCTGCATTAAAAATAGATAAAGGGAGATACAAATACTTATAGCTTTATAAAATATCAAAGGATCGGCCACAAAGCTGGATTCGAGGACATTCAACCCCATTGCTGGTAAAAACGTATCTTCATCCTGCTGTCTTCAGTAATATAAATGCGAAATGTTTATTCTATTTCTACAGCCATGTTAGTTCACTGCTACACAAGAGATGATTAGGTTCTTTATGCTTTGATAAACGTTTGCTTTTTATTTATCAACTAGATGTTGCCCGCAAATTCGTCCGCGTAGAATGTAAAATTATAGATAATATATAATAGAATATAACTCTTTTTCTGTTTTAATTTCCCAAATCGAAGTAAACTATGTTACTCCTTAGGAAATCAGCTACCTGCCGATACTTTTTTTGCAAATCGGTCCAGCCATTTCAGAGATTAGCCAGTACATCCAAACGGAAAGACAGACAAATTTTGTAAGAAATATGATTACCAAAATATAATTTTGGTATGTGTATCGTATGTATATTCATATGCATGTAGTAAAAAGCAGTAACATATTTTAATATTACGAACATACACTCGAATTTAATTAATCTGTCTATCTTTCCAAATTAAATTATTTTGTGCAACTTTTTTGTTTCGAATCAATTGCAACAATCAATATTTTACGCACTTATCAAATAACTTGACTGGCTGCAGGATTATTTACTCAACCTGCGAAACAACCCATTTTCTCATTCTTCATACATATAGTATGCTTTACCTTTAATAGAAAATGTGTTGCGGACCTTATGATGGTTCCTGCGGCGGCTATTGCCCATGCATCACTATCTACACTAACTACACGAAGATTTGCTAGTCGTACCCAAAATTTTGCGCAAAAAAGCTATGGTGTATGCATCGAAATGTTTTTCTTGGAAGTCATTTCGTGCCGTTTTGTGGAAATAACATACTACTAAACATATTATATTCCTCCTGAGCGTACGGCGCGTCGCGTTCTGCGCGTCCCTCAAAGAGCCATCAGACCACCACGGATGGGGCCCAATAGGGCTGATGCCGTTACGGAGTCGCGGAGGACCTAATGGCCGGGTCTAAGCGTAGGAGTGAAAACGGGGTGGTTTCTAGTCAGTAAGAGTTTGACATTCCCTTCCGCCTCACCCAGGCGAGAGAAGTCATTCGATGATCCCCCCCCCCCCCCAAAACATTTTTAACTTTGGATCAACAAAACAGTTACAAAAATTGAAGCAAAATTATATATAATACTTGGTTCTGTACGATAAACGACTGTTGGGAGCATTGTGAGTAGGAATAATTGACTTTGTAAACATTTTCATATAGTTAAACGGCCGGCGGCTTTGGTTGTGTACTTACTTCTGTTTGTTTATGTTTAGTTATATTAATATAACCGTCGGGAGTTCCCTTGAACGGTAGACAATAAAGATAATAAGGGTGAAACTTTTGAAATTTATATAAATAAGATTTGTTTGCTGAAGTGATTAAAGTCTAGAATGGCAATGATTAACATTTAAAAGAAATACCATCGATTATGTATATATGAACCATTATGTAGAGTATATAATGTAATAGAATACAACTTTATTGTACACCATTAATAATATAGTACATACAGAAAAGGAAATGACACACATAAATAAAAATAATAATGGGCACAAAGGCAGTCTTATCACTTATAGTGATATATATATATAGTATTTTTTTTATTTTTTTTTAAGGGGGGAAAATCATCGAATGACTGCTCCCGCCTGGGTGAGGCGGAAGGGAGTGTCAGACTCTTACTGACTAAAAACCACCCCGTTCCTTCTCTTGAACGTCGAGCCGGAGCCCCGGTTACCCGTTAGGTTCTCCGCGACATATATATATAGTATAATACCTATACGTTCGCCAACAGAATAACTATAGAACCGAATAGTAGAATTTAAAGTGTAAAAAGGCACTCATCTATTTCAAACATTGACATCTAGCCCACTTGATCGGTAAAATAGAACTGCTTGTCACAACCAACAGGACTATGTATATTTAAACAAATAAATAACATAACATTATGCCTTTTATCCCCGAAGGGTAGCAGAGGTTCACGTTACGGCACTTAATTCCACTGTGCAATGTAACACCCAATTTTCATGAGATTGATTTTATAAGTCCCATGTAATAGGGGGTGAGCCTATTGCCTTTTACCAATTCTAGACCCCGTGCTACTACTAAGATTTTTTTCAAAAACCCATTAATACTTTGCCGGACCCGGGAATCGAACCCGAGACCCCTTACCCAGCAGTCGCACTTCCGACCACTCGGCCAACGAGGCAGTCAAATAAATATAAACCTTTAGACAGCTCTTTACATCCCCAGTCATCTATCTCAGAGTCAATATATCATGCATTCACGCAGATACACGCTCACGGCCTACCATAGGACCCCTGGGAACGATTTCTATATTTCCTGAATCCGAATCGTGTTGAGCAAACAATATATCTTGACCAAACATCATGTATCCCATGAGGTTGTTCATGATTGCTTTACGGGGAAATGATGAACTGACAGCTATAGCCGTGGTTCTATACCACATATCTACACCAGCTATAGCCATGTTTCTATGCACTTGACTGCGCGGTGGCTGGGCAAATGACTGCCGCGCAACGTGTTGCGAGTTCGATTCCCGCACGGAGCAACTGTTTGTGTGATCCACAAAATTCTTGTTCCGGGTCTGGGTGTCAGTATGTGTATGTCAACTTGTATGTTTGTAAACGCACCCACGACACGGAAGAAAATGCTAGTGTGCAACATTAAAAAAAAGAAAAAAATGTCCAAGACATTTTTTTTAAATGTACAAGACGTTTTCCTTTTTTTTAACCGTATGTGTAATTATACATCATGCACTTTAAGTAACATGACTTTAATATTTTATTAAGACAAGATACGAAGTGGACGAATTTTTTGACCATCTTTTTAAATAGTCATTTTTATTATTTTTTTTATTTTCTTTGCTGAATGTTTTTTTGTGGAATAAGCTAGTAAACGAGCAGACGGATCACCTGATGGTAAGCAATCGGCGCTGCCTATGGACACCTCGAATACCAGAGGCGTTACACAAGTGCGTTACCAGGTGATCTGTCTGCTCGTTTACCGGCTTATCCCATAAAAAAGGACAACCCTAAGTCTAAACGTTATATCTAAGACAAATGTCTCTCCCAGTAAATCAGTGAGAGATCTTTTTGTATAAAATTCAAGCGTTCAATTAAAGACGCCTTGAGGTACGACTAGTTCTATTGTACTCGCTTCCTATTCAATAATCGGAGCGAGAAGTTGAATAGCCATTTTATACAATTGAAACAGGCCAGTATTTATAAATGGTTTCCCTAGGTTTACGCGAGAGAGATAAAAGTGAATTTATTTTTAAAATGCAAACAGACTTTTGAAAATAGAACGTTAAATAATTTGTTTGCAGATATTATTTTAACACGTTTTTTCTTCTTTTAGAATCGTAAGCAAAATATTTTATTAAAGTTTAATAATACATTTATTATAATGCTTAATTATTTCATTACGTTTTAAATGTGTGTAAAAAAATT